TATTTGACCTGCTTCCAACCCTTCCCTTCTCCCCAGAGTAAATTGGCTTGGTCTATTATTGCTGCAAGAATACAAAAAATCATCAGTCAAAACGTTTTGCAATCAAGAAACTCATTCCACTTGGTTTGACTGAAGAACTGGATGGTCTATGGGTCCTTGATTGTTCTGAGTGGAGCTTTTGTTTCCCTTATGTCACACCACTCTTCAAAGATCCTGCACTTGTCTGTCAATTTCTCTGCATTTTGTAGGCTGCCCTCATAACTTTGACCAACCCAACAGTCACTACAGATTTCATACCACGGATCCCTTCTAATATTCACTCAATATTCATTCAACATACTCAAAAATTCATCTTTTTCTCAGTTTGGCCTATTTTATGCACCCCTCTTGCCAGAACCCAACAGGAGCATTGAATTTTATTTTAAGAAACTTGTTTTGGACAAGTGGTGCCAAACTCAATGCCACAGTCAAGCTCTTGGATCTGATCAGATCCAATACCTTGACTGTGCCACACCAAATGTCATGCGGTGCACAATGAGTCTGATGTGTAACAGGACTTTTACAGTCTGTCTCATCACAGAACGTGAAAGGTTAAGGAAATGAAGAATGGCTGCGTATCTGTAGGCACAGTACATGGGAACAGGAAAAACACACTGAATTTTGTATTCCAGCAAGGAGAAGAATGATGATGATGGAAAACAAAGGGAGAATTTATATACGTACGGCATCAAACACAGAGAGAGGGAACCAACACAAGACTCAAGAAGAGTCTAGAAGAAAGAAAACTTGTAACACATAGTCATGAAACCAAGGGATGAGACTAGAAAAACCAGGGAGAAGGTGTTAGCCTGTGCTGTGGCAGTGTGACTCCAGCTAGAAAAGGTATCTACGGAAGCCCAGGGTGGGGGGGGGGGAGCAACCATTGGGCCACCATTCATAGCATCTCAATGTTTACTGTACTCACCATGGTTTGCTGTGTTAAGTGCAAGAAGTGGAAAGCTGGCCCTCATTTTGCCAGCGGGTCTTGACAATGCTTACTCCATGGGCATGGAACCTGACACCTACCCTACCTTTGCCGCAACTCAATCAAACAATCTCGATTATCCAGCCTCCCAACCCATCACCTTCAGTTTCATCTCAAACTCAAGTTATTGGCTCTTCTAAGATTTTTACTACAGTCCTCTACTTGCAACTCAAACACAAACTCTGGGATTTGTTTTCTTGCAAATTGATTCAGAAACCAATGATTATGACACCACTTCCTCCTAGCCCAATCACCCAAATCACATTGAGTCATGGTGAAAGTTGCCTTCACAATCTCTGTACATTACTCTCCTATATCTCAAAAGCGAGGAAAAAGCCAAATTATTCAGGAAGAGCCTAGCAATATTATCACCCAAATTTCTACTCAAGTCCTCAAATAGCTCAACTTGCCCCTTGAGCTCAGTCAACCAGCTGCCGTCCACTCCATACGCCAACTCAAGACCTGCCAACCTGAGGCATCAATTATCAATCATATTCTTGACAGTACTGTTTGCTGCAATCCAGCAGGCCATAACCAAAATTATGGTTTCAATAATGTTACATGGGCCTATGGTCTGATTGCTGGTAAGTGCTGACTATTCATTTATCCCCCAAAGATGTCTGCTCATTATTGGTTTCCATACAGATACAGTTCCTGGACAGGGAGGTGGCAGTTGTGACACACAAATCACACATTTGAGACAGCCTTTGGATTGATGCATGATCACTATTGAAAATTTGTTCAGCAAATACACCTCCCTCAGAACTCATTGTGACTAGCAGCCCCATCACCATATGTATTAACAAAACTGCTCCTATAGGTTGTTGATGCATGCAAGTGGCTTATCCAATTAGAGTCAAGACCCTCAGGGATGGTGATGGAAACTTTTGTATCACTAACTTTGTTACCAAAGAGCAATTCATCAATCAGCACCCATCAATTTCCAATCATGTGACTGATTCCTGAATGTGTCAAGCTTGTGCGCTTCTCCTTCAAGAATTCAAAAATGTGAATTTATTCAACACGCCACATTATCCTCTCATTTATGCCAAAAAGCTACCACATTCAACACAAGTCATTATTTATTCTAGCATATCTTCTTTCTTGCAATCCAGAAGAAAAATTAATCTCATGCGTGTTCCACAGATTGTCTGTCACTGGAAACAAAGATGTTCCCTTCCAAATCTATTTTCTAGAAGCTGTTCTTTGTGGCCCCTACGTCAAGTATTCCAGTAATGTCAATTTTCACATCACAAGGAACCCAGCTGGGATGGATGTTGAAAATTTAGAAATTATGAATGTTTTTACTCATTGTGCAAAAATCAACTCTCATGGACAAAGCTCAGTATGTGATCTCCAAGGGGTGGGGAACATGGTGACCATACCACAAATAATATATTTGGATCCTTTGTCAGCCATTTATTATTGATCCATTGTTGACAAATAAGCACTAACATAATTCTCCATATAAAGATGTTTCTTGAACATTACCAATGCAACAAGGTCTGCATAGCTTTGGAGCTTGAAAATCTGGTTGACCTCCAATAGAAACCAGCTGCATCCCAAAACTTCCCCTCAAGTTGGTGAAATATCACTTGGAGGGCCCGTCAACTGCAATGGGTGCTCTTGGTCTGGAAACCCAACTATCCTAACCCCATCACCACAGATTTCCATTGCAAATCGTTTGGCCAGTGACAGCAATGAGCTGCCCAATATCCAATTTTTTTTCAGCACTTCTTAATCTAATCTTCCTGTAGTCTTATCTGGAGCCAATCCTGAAAATACGAGTGACAGAGAAATAAGGCACATCTGATGCAATTAGTTTTGACTTCATTGTATTGACCAATGCTATATAGCACATCATTAATGTTGCTCATGACCACCACCTTGATGGATCTAAACAATCTATTGAACTCCAGCTTGGACCTGCCCATGACATTCCATATCTTTGCAGGCTCTACTCTGCTTGTCAATCAATCCCAACCGTATAATCCCAAGAAAGTTCACAAAACACTTCAGCACCTGGATCTTGGTGGCCCTGCCTTTTTAGGCCAACCAGGAGGGCTTCTTGGGTAAAAAGCTAGGTGAGAATTTGATGTGGGATGGCTCAGAGCTGAAGGAGTTAATGAAGGAGGACCAGGAGGCCAGGGTGGTGGAGATGGCTAACTGGGCAGCAGTGCAGAGCACAACAAAATGTGCGGCTGGGTTCTTGATGACCAAGGACTTGCACCCAGAAAAGGGTGTCAATAAAGGATCTTCTTGGCTTGTCCCACAACAACCCCTCCTCCTTTTCCTCCTTTCCTGCTCACTACAATCCTTCTCCGCCTCATCCTGCTTATCTGGCCTTGTCTCCTACTTCTTCTTCTCAAGTCATTTCCTCCTTATTGTTGAATACAATGATTAGGTTAGTCAGGACAAGAATTCTGGTCAGGCAGGCTAAACAAATGTACTGGTGGATGCTGAGAACCTCAAGTGTTGAGGATTAACGTAACAATCAGAGACCCAGTACTTTGGTGAAGATCAGAATCAACACCATTGCCAGTCTGTCACATGTGTACCCCAATTATGTTCATTTTTATTTAGTGCCA